AATATGAAAAGGAAGCAAAAACAGAGGCCAACCAATAGTGCAATATGGTAGTACGTGTGTGTTTTTATTGCTCTTATTATTATATACTATTGTGTTTGGAGTATTTTTCTTGGCGCTACCTGTATATTGTTGTTTGACTATTATATACAGGAATGTGTGCATAAGGGAGTGCATGTATGCATACTTATACAGACATTGGGAAGTCTGTTATTGGACAGCCACAGAAAGTCTGGGAAGGGCAAAGGCTGCAGACAAGAGAACTGCAGGTTTTACAAGATGTTTTTACATTTAAATTCATGCAAGTTTTTATCTGGGCATATCTACTAAACATGGATTTGTATTCACTTTGTATTTGGTTAGTGGAGTGTCGCTTTAAGTATTAGTACCCCATAAATGATACGATAAAGCAAGATACAAGGAACTTATTGAAATAACTTTGTAGCCTCAAGTATATGGATGGATTCACAAGGATACATAAAAAAGGGATACATGAATATTCAATAAATATTCTTTTACAATATGAAATAAAAAAAAATCATGTAGGCAATCTTAGTTGTCATACATACTATGAATTATATAAGAATAATTACAATGAAATACAAAGAGAATTAAAGAGATAATGTATCAAGCAAACATGAAATGAAAATATAGTGTTCATGTGCCAGAATATCAGGTCAAAAACTCTTTGCCTCTGTAGAAATTAATTATCTGGATCTTATCAATAACAGATACCATATGTACTCGAGTATAAGCCGAGTTTTTCGGCACGTTTTTTGTGCTGAAAAACCCCAACTCAGCTTATACTCGAGTCAGTCTGTATTATGGCAATTTACATTGCCACAATACAGACCAGGACAGCCGGGCTCATTACAAGCGGGCGATCCTGTTGGGGGCTGACAGTGAGCTTTTACTTACCTTCCTGCAGCTCCTGTCAGCTCCCTTCTCCTGCGTGCAGCTCCTCTGTCAGATCTGTTCTGTTTACAGTGTAAGTCTCGCGAGATTTACACTGTAAACAGAACAGAGCTGACCGGGGAGCTGCACGGAGGAGAAGGGAGCTGTCAGGAGCTGCAGGAAGGTAAGTAAGAGCTCACTGTCAGCCCCCCCACTGAACTGCCAATGCCACTGGACCACCAGGGATTTAATATTATTTTATTTTAATATTTGCATTATTTTTTTTTAAATGTTTTTTTGTCCCCCCTCCCTGCTTGTTGCCTGGTCAGGGAGGGGGGACAAAAAAACAATTTAAAAAAAATAATGCAAATATTAAAATAATAATAATATAAAATAAAATAATATTATTAAAATAATATAATATTAAAATAACAATATTATTTTATTATATTAATATTATTTTAATATTTGCATTATTTTTTTTTTAAAATGTTTTTTGTCCCCCCTCCCTGACCAGGCAACAATCAGGGAGGGGGGACAAAAAACATTTAAAAAAAATAATGCAAATATTAAAATAATAATAATATTATTGAAATAATATAATATTAATCTAATAATAATATAATAATAAAATAATAATATTAAAATAATATAATATTAAAATAAAAAAATAAAAATAAAAATGCCCTCCCCTCATCCAGTTTACACACACTGCACAAACACACACACTGCATTATATACACACACACACAACACACACACACTGCATTCATTATATATACACACACAAACACACACTCTGCATTCATTATATACATACACAAACACACACTCTGCATTCATTTTATACACACCCTGTAAATAAATATTAAATTAATGTAATTTTATTGGGATCTAATTTTATTTAGAAATTTACCAGTAGCTGCTGCTTTTCCCACCCTAGGCTTATACTCGAGTCAATACGTTTTCCCATTTTTTTGTGGTAAAATTAGAGGCCTCGGCTTATATTCAAGTATATACGGGTATGTTTAAAGGAATTTATTGTCCATTATTACTAGAATCCGGAAGAAGTACCTCCTGCCCTTCCCTTAAAGAGTCTCATGACTTGCACGATGAACATTTGGGGATGACAATCAATAGAATACTCAGCTCGTTATCTTATATTGGTGGCACCGCATAGCAATTAACTAATGTTTTGTGTAAAGGTGTAATGCCATTAAAAGCATTACTAAGATAAGGTTATAGTTAAGGTGTAAGTAAGGGCAAGGTTAGGGTTATGGAGAGGTTAGGATTAAGGGATTTGTTACATTCGAGGTAGTTAGAGTTAGGGAGTAGTAGGGGGAAAATATCTTATATATTAATGCTGGTGAGTTTCTATGTTAATCTTACTTATTATTGATGTAGTTAATATAACTTACCTCTGTGACAAACTTTGGAAGCAGCTCTCGAATTAGGCAAGTTAGGTAGCCACCTCAGGCTTCAAGCTCACTGGGGCTTTGCGGCTTCCTAACTAGACTTTGATGACCAAATAGATGACTGTTTTACTTGATATATGATTTGTAGAACATATCTGTTTAATTATCTATCGATTTACTGTTTAATTGTATACCCTATATAGCAAGTGTGAAGAGACCAATCTCGCCACATTGCATTGGAGAAGCCTGGTTGCTCACCTGCTGCCTTTGGACTATGGCCCCATGTTAAAAGACATGTTTCTTCCCTGCAGAAAATACTTATTCGTGCTTTTCTGCCTGGTGTTCGGTAGATTCAATCTACCGAACAACCGCATGAATGACTGGACCACCTGGGAGCTGGAGTGTGCCAGCAATTAGCCTCCCTGAAGCTGCGGTTAACCACAGCTTAATTGATGAATGCTGGGTGGCCGCCATTCGTATGACGAACACGAGGTCGCAGCCATTTTAAACATGCGAACGCACAGCGGTGTTCGACGCTTAATTCATGGAACTAAAATCGGACAAAGTTTTGCGCGAACACCGCTGAAGCCACCGACCTCCCTTCTTGTTCGGTGAAAGTGCACGAACGGCCCGGTGTTCGGTAGTTTTACTTGAATATGTTATACCCCAGATAGGAATCCCATGGAGCCCATTCGCATGAGAACTGACTGTGTAAAGACTTTGGCTCCATGGCGATTACACTGTATTCGTGTGGTCTGAGCGCCATTCGCTTAATAATGTGCGCTCAGACCTGAGCTATCTGGGGATATGTTAAATGTATAGTTTTAATGTAACATGTCCTACATGGTGTATTTTAATAGTAATTCATGTTTTAGTATCCCCACGTGCATAATGGCGATTTGCCTTTGTCTTGGGAGATAATTGCATTACTTCTCAATTATCTCCAAGGCAGAGGGGAGGAAGCCAGGATGCATTGTGGGAATATAATGTGACTGTGTGTCCTATTTGTCTACTTGTCTGTCTTTTGTCACAGTCTCCTATTCGGTCCCCTAGGGGAGTGTCCATCAGGTGGGAGACCTGCATAAATACTGGGCAGGTAGCCCTCATTAAACAGACCACTGTTTGACCCTCAACACGGAGCCTTGTCTCATCTTTGAGGGGGGGGATTTACTGAACGCTGATAGAGACTGATTGCTAAGAGTGTAAGCCGCTTGGATGCTTTTCCTATTCGTCTGCTAGCAGCGATTCGTATGGTTCCAGTTCGTGTGTTTGGAGTGCTATATTGGATGCCGTTCGGGAGTTTGGAGCATTCACTTATTGGTGGTTCGTGAGTTTGGTGTTCTAAAATAGCTGTGCCTGCATCTCTGGAAAGGGGGAAGATCGCCTAAACGTTTTTTACCCCTTGTGTGCAAAACGGTCCGTTACAGCCAGTATTGTTACACTTTGGCATTAGCGTGAGAAAGATCTCTTTGAGATTGAAATGTTGCACTTTGACCAAATAAATCTGCTGCTAAATGACCCTTGAGGGCCTTGATCACAATTTTGTTCAATCAACTAGCCTTAGAGCAGACAGATTCTTCTGGCCCTTAGTCCATGAAAAAGGGCCTGACACCATGTGGAAGCCTCATGGTTTGCCTTGTGTGTTACCATATGCGGCCTCCTCCACTAAGTCTACCAACAGAGGGAGAGAAAACCCAGCAGACTCCAGTCTGCATCTTCGCTGGGTGCAGACCATGAAGTAGGTTTCTTATAAGCTCTGGCCAATCAGAGCATTGCCATGGGTTACCAAGGGAAAGCTCTGACACTTCAAGAGCTGGAGTTCAAAAGACAACTACCACGTGGTTTGCAGCTCTGTATCCAGTGAACTGTAGACCAGATAGCTAGCCTACCAAACCACCAGGGAATTGATTACTGCCTAAAAAAAGTATTTCAGTATGGGGAGGATGGTCATTGAAACACAGCCTCCCCACTTACTGTCAACCCTACACGCTATCACCCACATTCACCCATAAAATCCATTTTAATATGCTTTAATATTGTTTTAGATTCATTAGCGTCTTATCAAAACAAGAGTATGTTTTGGCATATATGTATAACTTTCTGTTGTTTCCCATTGTCTGCCCATCACCAAAATGGCACCCAGAGAGCATATCTATCTGGAAAAGTATCGGATATGACGTATCGCAATTAGAAACCAGAGGTGACTTATCAGGGTATGCTAGAAAAAAGGAATGAGGCACCGGAAGTAGACGTGAAGTCATATTGAGGACTGGAAGTGGGTATTATGCACTGAGGAAGACCAAGAGAGGTTGAAACGCACTGTGCTTAGCTTATGTTTACATCCTTGTTTGCTTTTGTGTTTTGTTTTTAACAAATATATACTTACCTATGCACAAGTTGGAAAAAAACTGGAAAGTGTCTCTCTGGTCCGGCTGAATAATATTTGTTATTTCTTTATTCGTGCCTTTGCCATTTAGAACCAAATGGAAAAACACACTCTGTAACATGTGACATTACAATCTGGTGGGTTTAAAAGCACTGGGTTTATAAGACTTGCACCCCAAATTCCTTTAAATGTATCTGTTATTGATAAGATCTAGTGATGTCCCGAACGGTTCGCCGAACGGTCCGCCGAACGGTTCGCCACGGACGGCGAACATAAACATAAACTTTGACCCTGTACTTCACAGTCAGCAGACACATTCCAGCCAATCAGCAGCAGACCCTCCCTCCCAGACCCTCCCACCTCCTGGACAGCATCCATTTTACATTCATTGTGAAGCTGCATTCTTAGTGAGCTGTCCAGGAGGTGGGAGGATCTGGGAGGGAGGGTCTGCTGCTGATTGGCTGGAATGTGTCTGCTGACTGTGAGGTACAGGGTCAAAGTTTATGTTTATGTTCGCCATCCGTGGCAAACCGTTCAGTGAACCGTTCGGCGAACTGTTCGGGACATCACTAATAAGATCCAGATAATTCAAATAATTTCTACAGAGGCAAAGAGTTTTTGACCTGATATTCTGGCACATAAATACTATATTTTCATTTCATGTTTGCTCAATACATTATCTCTTTAATTCTCTTTTTATCTCATTGTACTTGTATTTTATGTATGTTAAATATGAAAAATAATTAAGTTTCTTGTTTTATTGAACTAATAGAAATTTGTAGTGATGAGCTTTTGGCAGTTCCTCCCTTTATCAAGTCACAGGCTTGTGTATTAGTTTCTGCCAGGTACCTATTTTTCCATCCTTAACCTGCTAGCTCTTCATTTAACTATTGTTTTCATTTCCCAAGGCAGATTTACGACACCCTGAAAATTCATTTTGCTGGGTCAACCTTTTTATTAGGGCTATCTTTGTTTATGTGTTTCACTGCTGTCAAAAATGCTTTAGACTTTCCACCGGCTGGAATTACAAGCAGCCTAGGGAGGGACGCGGTTGGCGCACCAATCTTTGTGCCACGACAATCCCCCGCACGGCCACATGCGGCTGCCACAACCTGAAACAGGACAAAAACTACCGGGACGCTCTCCCACCTTTTTATTTTACCGGGCAACAGTCTGGCCCGCAGCCCAACAGCTAGGAACACCTATTCACAAAGAGAGTAATCGAGACTGTCTGTTCGCATTGTTTCTCTCTCACCTTTCTTACTTTTCGTTCCTTATCTGTTGTTTTTATTTCTGTTTATTGATGCTGACTCATTTTAAATGTTTAACACGACTGCATAGGCACCTTCAATTACAACATGTACCTAAACAACAAAATCAGGCAAATGTCGATTAACAAATCAGCTTAAATGCCTGACCCGCCACTTTAAGCGAAGTATAACCACTCAGACAACATTACATAGCCTGTAATAACCCTGTTTTCACATACACAACTTCTGAACGTTGTTATACAGTAGAATTTACAATAACGCCCCAGCCTGCACTTCATAACCCCCCAGCTGGCACTTATAATGTTCTTAGCCTATACATACACAAACGGTGCCCTTCTGATATGACTAGCAAGCACTATAAGAGAGGTCCTACGTACTCCTACTCACATAGAAATGTTAATTTACAACCAGTCTAACATAAGTACAACCTTTTTACACCGACCATACGCTCACAACCTGTAATGTTGCAATATAAAAACGTGCTGAATTTTCCACATGCTGACCAATTGTTAATATATGTTTGGTAACATGCTTGTCAAAGCTGTTGGGGCATGACGAGCCCACTTGTTATATTTTCATGCACACCATAAATAAAGAATTAAAAAAAAAAAAATGCTTTAGACTTGATAAAGGGAGGAAGTCCCAAAAATCTGTACAAATTCCTATTAGTCCAATAAAAAAGGTATTACAGTCTGACGGACTGCCTGGTAACCCTGACCTGGGTACCTCCGTCAATAGCTGATTCCTAGTCACCTAGGAACAAACTACAGAACAGAGTCAATAGTCTTACCCTGGAGCTTGTTCCCCTCACCCAGACGAATGATCTCACTTAACAATGCCCTTCTAAGTTGAACAGAATCAAAAGCAGGCGATGATGGAAATCCAGCGGTGTTTGGGAGCTTCTGTATCCTATTTTAGTTCCACGAGATTCATGCCCAAACACCACTGCCTGCGTTCAGGTAAACATGATGGCGCCACCTCGTGGTTGTCCATAGGAATTGCCGCCATATAGTCCCAATTGCATGAACAGAGCCTGTTTAAAGTATTTTTGCCAGGTCCATTGCAGGGACCATAGTCACAGGGTAGGAGGCCGGCAAACTGGCCCCTCCAAAAACCAGTGGCAAGGTTACTTTCACCACATACAGGAAACTGCAATAATTAATTATTTTGCAACATCATTACTGAACTAATACTGCAAATCAAATATCATAATTCTTAAATATGCACAAATGTTCGTGTGTCTGTGTAAATAAAAACAAATTGTTTTAACATCGCTGCTTTTATCATTAAAACTAAAATATAGCCATAAATGAAACTATTAATATAGAAAGTTAACAATAACTCTATCTTATCTCATCCTTCGAGTTAATGCTGCCTTCACATCTTTATTTTTCAAGCTGTACATTAGAGGGTTTACTAAAGGAACAATAGCTGTGTTAAAGAGTGAAAAGAATTTAGAGGACTCTGAGATGTCAGTTGAGGTGGGTCTCAGATATTGGGAAAGGAGGGTCACATAGAGTAGAATTACAACAGTAACTTGGGAGGAACAGGTGTAGAAGGCTTTACGTCTCCCGATGCTGGATCTTATCTTTAATATGGAGACAATTATAAAAACATAAGAAATGAAGGTGAGAAGAAATGGTGTGAAGCTAATAAGGAGAAATCCTTCTGTGAGGCTCAAGATTTCCAAGAAGGATGTGTCACTGCAAGAGAGTTTCATAAGGGGAACGAGGTCACAGAAAAAATGGTTAACTATGTTGGATTTATAACATGATAAATGAAGTAATAACAGCACGTAAGGAATTATTTCTAAAAAGCCTATTAACCAGCAGGTAAGGGCCAGGAGAGTACAAGCTCTACTATTCATATACATATGATAGCACAAAGGGTTACAGATTGCAACATATCGATCATAACTCATGGCCGTAAGAAACAACAACTCATCGCAAATAAAACTCCCATAAAAATACATCTGAGTCATGCAGGTATTGTATGAAACTCTGTTGTTCTTTGTAATAAAGAAAACAAGGACTTTGTGTAGAGTAAGAGTTGTGGAAAACATGTCCAGGATACTGAGATTGCACAGGAAGAAGTACATGGGGGTGTGAAGGTGACGATCGAAACAGACCAGGAGAAGGATGGTCATGTTACCAGCCAGAGTCACGATATACAGAAACAGAACCAGGAGAAAGATCGGAACCTGTAGCTCAGGGAGGCCGGAAATCCCTTGTAGAATGAAATATCTTACTAAGCTCTGATTCTTATATTCCATCACTTTGTTTTCTACAACATCTGCATTTTAAATGATTATTAATAACATATTCTTTATATAGGTAGCTAATATTTTCTTAGATTCAATAACCTCTGTTTTCTTCAGATTTTACACTGCAACCATTATATATGTAGCATGTTACCATTTTTTTCTAAAAATATACTTTGCATGTGTTTCTTCTTTCACAATCATAGGGCTTTCTTTCTGGATTATAAAACAGACTCAGACAACGAGAAAAAACAAAAATCCAGTACTGTGTCATCATTTCTATAAGAAGATTCCCCTGTAGACGGTTGGTCAAAAAAATTGCAATCCGTAGTTTCCTCGGAAAATGTCAGCTAGATATTGAAAATCAAAAGTATTGGAGGCAGACACGACCTTAACAAAACAAACAAACAAAAACAAACAAACAATACACCGGTGTAAGATAGCACAGACAGTTAAGGTATTATTAGTAACTTATTAACTGAGGAATTTCTTATCACACATCAACTGTAGAGAGAATATGTTATCTTTTAAGGCAGATGTAAACTTTCATTGTGTAAATAGCAACATGTTTGTCATAAATACAATTTTGTCAATAAAAACCAATTCAATCACATCAGGAATTTGTTGGATATGCCTGAAAGAACAGCTAGAATATGTTAACTCAGTGAGTTATCCCTAAATTTAAAAGCTCTCCAATGCTATGGAATAGAATGTTCTGTTAGTAACCTATACCGTTATGCTATGGAATAGAATGTTCTGTTAGTAACCTATATCGTTTATTTGGGTTTTATAATAGATGCCAGTAAATGGTAATGAACTACGGATAACAACAAATGAGAAAGATTTGAAAATTGTTAAAGACAACAAACTAGGCAACAACATGCAATGTCAATTGGCCGTTACTAAGGTCAGTGAGGTAATTGTTGAAGTAAAGGGTAGGCCGGTGAGATAGCTCAGTGGGCTAATGCATCATCAGTAGACTCAGCCCTTCATCCTTCCGAGGTAGATAAAATGAGAACCATTAAATAGGGTAATAGTAACAACCCCTGGATGTTGGGCTAAGGTAACATTCTCAGGACGTACTTAAAAACCAGAGTAATCGGAATGTACATTTCCTGGTTAAATACATTGTTGTTATTATTATTATTATTATTATTATTATTATTATTATTTTAGCAGGTAGAATTTATTGTGGGGTACAAAAATTACCCCTGAGCTGAAACGTTGGCTAAATATTTGTACTCCGCAATACAGTCTACCTGCTTAAATAAACTACTGAGGGTGCCCAAACCTAATTTTCTCCCACTGGATTTGTCTGGGCTGGCCCCCCCTCCCCTCTCTCATACCCCCCCACCCCCCCTTGTTTTGGAGCACCATAGTAGGAGTACTCCATGAAAACGTGCGAGTGCAAAGTCCTTTGAAATTCCACAATACACCTGTAATTATGGCTAATTATCTTTCTTGTTCTGTGTTAAATGTATATGTGTGTACTTATATACGACTTTGTATTAGTAATAATGTGCTGAGAACTTTAATATCACTTTGTATCTGTAATAAAGTGCTGAGTACTTTAATATCACTTTGTATTTGTAATAATGTGCTGTGTACTTTAATATCGCTTTGTATCTGTAATAATGTGCTCTGTACTTTAATATCGCTTTGTATTTGTAATAATGTGCTGTGTACTTTAATATCACTTTGTATCTGTAATAATGTGCTGAGTACTTTAATATCACTTTGTATTGTAATAATGTGCTGTGTACTTTAATATCACTTTGTATCTGTAACAATGTGCTGTGTACTTTAATATCACTTTGTATCTGTAACAATGTGCTGTGTACTTTAATATCACTTTGTATCTGTAATAATGTGCTGAGTACTTTAATATCACTTTGTATCTGTAATAATGTGCTTAGTACTTTAATATCACTTTGTATTGTAATAA